CTATATTTACACTAGTATCTATATTTACACTAGTACCTATATTTACAGCCTGTCTGATGTTTAGCTGAAAAGTTTTGGTTATAAATAGTCAAATATTAAATATGAGTTGTTTTTTGTCTGCCATGATGGTTTAAATTGATCCTGATGTTCAGGACAGGGACATCCTTTAGATCAGGGTGTGTAATCCTGGTCCTGGAGGCCACTATCCTGTATGTTTAAGATGTGTCTCTGCTCCAACACACCTGATCTGAATCAGTGGAGAATCACCTGATGATCATCAGGCTCCTGCAGAACATGAGGTCATTCAGCCACTGACTCAGGTGTGTTGCAGCAGGCAGACCTGTGAAACAGCATATGGCTGCCATGATCTAACACCTCTGCTTTAGATTGTTTAAAGATCCATCTTCTGATGTGTGACACAAAAATAAATAATTAGATGTTTGATTAGCCCCTCATTAGTTTATAAACTATTACTAAACATTTAAAATTCTAATTCCCCGAGTCTGTTCTCTGCGAACATTTCTCCTTGCTTTGATCATGTTTATTTTTTTTCTGTATTCATGACTTTATAGACTTTTTAACCTACCCCAGTGATGGTGCTGAGCTGTCACCCTTCATCCTGGAAGAGCCACAGAATGAAGATCAGCCGAGCTCCTCGGTGAACGATCACCAGAATCAAACAGGTGGCGATATTTGACATTACCTTTTATTTGTATGATTCTTTGGTGATGCTTTTCCTGGATTCTCTTTGTCTTCCCAGATGTGGACATGAGAGCACCCATGGAGGCAGCGGCCCCCACACTAAATGAGACCACCCTGCTCACCAAAGAGGGGGCAGCCTTCACCCTGGAGCCAGTGGCTATCACTCGTATGCACAGTCAGCTCAAACTGTGGTCCTCTCATTTCTCTATATCTGCTTAAAAAAACTTGATACTGTTTTGCAAGGAGATCCAGCAGAGTGCTCTTTGACACACCTACGTACAAAAACTGTTCTTTTATGGTTCTCTGTTGTGTATTTAATTCTAGCAAACTCCAAAAAGAAGATCGGAAAGAGGAGACGCAAGTTGGTGGTGGACCAGACTAAAGAACTGAGCGACGAGTTCATCAGAGAGCAGCTTTCTGACTATTCAGACCTGGTTGCTCCTTTGGACATGGCCCCGCCCACTGTGCAGCTCATGCAGTGGAAGGAGAGCGGAGGTGCTGACAAACTCTTCTCACAGCCGTGTTCCACTCCGATAAACCCACAGATAAAAGAGGTAGATTCATTTTATTCTTGGTTTAATGATGAAGGTACATGTGCAAAAGCTGAGCACTGATTAGCACTTTATTTATACCACGACACCAGTGAATGGTGGAAACCAGTGAGTTTTATCTACAGCAGTGTTTCATTTTCAGCTCTTCATCAAAATTCTCTTCAAGAAGAAATATTACCGTGCGAGCGAGGAGGCTGAGGAAATGCGTCAAGACAGACAAGAAGGTAAGAAGCTGTTCATGAGGGGAGAGACCCTCATGAAGGCTCCGGGTCCGTACTGTGTGGGGGCAGAAGGAAGCCGTCAGCCACAGGTCCTCTTTGTACCCACTTAGCAGCTGCCCAGTAACACTGATGGTTTCATCTACTGGAGTACATATTTCAAATAAAATTAAATGGGTTCGGACCAGTTTTATTCAAATTCTTTACCCACTTTTTCCTTTCCCAGTTGAGGGCAGCTTGTGCCCATATCCTGCAGGAGGCGGGGGTCATCCTGGACAGGTCTCCAGTCCATCACAGAGACACACAGAGACAACCGTTCACACTCCCACTCACACAGGGGCAGTTTAGATTTACCAGTTAACCCAACATGTCTGTTTTTGGTCTGCGGGGGGGAAGTGGAGTTGTTTTTTTGGCTGCTCCCTCCTGTAGGGGTCACCACAGCAGGCGAACTTCACACAAAACATTTGGGAATTGTTTTACGTCCTGACGCAACCTGGGCTTGAACCTGCGGCCTCAGAGCCTCAGGATTACAAGACTGTAGCACGGGGCTGTTCAACTGGTGGCCCGCGGGTTAGAGTTGCATTCGGGCCTAAAAATCCAACCAGTCCCGGCCCCAGCACGTAGCCATTTTTTCTGAACCCGACCCGATCAAATTAACTGTAATTACAGGCTCGAACCTGGAAAACAACCCAACACTGTTTTTATGAAGCTGTTACTGCTTTTGTAAGCAAGTCAGTTTGACATAATACTTTATAAACGTATTGCAAAGAAAGGAAGATATAAGATTTCTTGTTTCACCAAATGGATATTAACAAAACAAATAGCCTTTAAAAAATCAACTCAAGATGAGCTATTATACAGATGAACAAAAATATTTTTAGAGCAAAGTCATTTGGAAAAATATAGACCAAGGCTATTTAAACTGAACGTGCTGCTCGCTTCGGCTTCTGTAGAAGCTGCTTCCTTCACAGATGGCAGCAGGTGTGGAGACGCGTGTAGCCGGTGATCAGCTGATCCATCCATCTTTACCTGTTTCTTCCTTTTCGGATAGTGGGGGTCGTTGGTGCCCATGTCCAGCCATCACTGTGCGACAGGCGGGGGACACTCTGGATAGGTCTCCAGTCCATTTCAACCGGTGGATCAGCGGACGCGTGCGGCCGGTGACAGGTGTCCATCTGAGCTTAACACGACTTTTTTTTTTTACTTCTTTCAACCGGCCGGTCAGACCTGCCTCCTCCTCTACAAGTAGATTAACACAATTTTATATTGTGCATTCTTATTTTATTTGTGCTGTATGATTCGTAAAACTGCATCAAAGCCCGAGACCGGCCCCGCCCTGCACATTCAGCATATTATAATGGCCCGACCCGTATTCGGGCTGGGTTCAGGTTAGAAATGACGGCTCCACCATGGATGACTTCGTCCAGCCCACCAAAGATTTCATGAAAAAATATATACATCGGATTATTTTATTTTTTTTGTTCTGGGTTTGTGTTTTGGGTTCTGTTTATTGCATTTATGATGCAATTCAACAAAATAAACAAATTTAAAAGGTCATTGTAAAACTTTGTTTATTTACATAATGACTTCAATCACTGGATGTCCGGCCCCTGAGCTGCTGGCTCTCAGAAACTGTGGCCCCCTCTGAGCAGGTTAGTTGAAAAATCCTGCTATAGCACTGACCACTGAGCTACCACTGCCCCACTGGGAATAAACCAGCGTACCAGGAGAAAACCCTCATGTGCATGTGAACTCCTGTTTGTGTGCACAGTTTTTCAGAGGTGACCAATGTGCCCTGTGTGCTGCAGCCAAGGTAAAACCAGTTTAACTCTGGTGCAGGGTGAAAAGTGACGTCAGCCTGTTGTTCAGCTTGGCTGTCCAAGAAGATTTTAGAGCTGTGCTTAACACCCCACCACCACCACCATTCCAACCTTTATGCCTAATAAAAGAAGCAAGGGTACATTTTTGTAAATGTCTGACTCTGTCGTACAGATGGACGCTGCATCCAGTGTCTGTTGCTGGGAGCGAGTAGTTCCCAGTAGTTAGTGCACCCTGAGCTTTTAACAACTTTTATACCAACGGTTGTCCTGGACTCGTACTGAGCATTCGTGCTCATCTCTACATGTCTCGTCTGCTCTGTGACAACATTGCCTATGGAGGACAGGATCAGTAAAACTCATTAATGTTTGTGTATCAAAATAAATAAAAGCAGGTGTACAGGATCAAAACACCAGAGTTGAATGCTGAAAATAGATCTCAACCTATTTGGGGCACGGTGGCTGATTGAACGTGCGCATATTCTTGTTCTTTCTGCTTTTTTTACTTCAGGGGTTGGCACAGCGAAGGTGCTTGTTGGTAAACGACACCCGTTGGGTACAAAATGGCAGCACTTCATATAAACTGACTTTGTTGTTCTTTTTCTTAACGTTCATGGTTTAGCTCAGAGCGACTTCAGCGCTCTCACAGAAAACCTCAGCGTTGTAGACTCATCTGTGGATACTGAAAACACACACCGCACCGAGCTGACGGGCCTTGAACACAACACTGACGACTGTGAGACTAATCCAGAGCGCCTACAGGTAAGTAGTAACATGTCGGGTCAGCAGAAGGAGCCATTTTCAGATTGAAAGAACTTGTTTTGACGTGCGCTGTTCATCAGCAGGAAAACGGGTCACAGTTCACCCATCCAGAGCTCCCATCAGAAGACTCCATGTTTGTTCATCCGTCCTTCGTGGAGCACAACACTCAAACGTCCCTCCACACTCAGGTGCTTGTGAACACAGTCACACACACATTTTGCTGCTGGCCTGCAGCCTCCACTGAACTCATGTCTGAATGAAAAGTAACAGTAAAGGCTGATCGTCTGAAAACGGGTGGATGCTGAAGTAGCCCAGCTTTAGTGCGTCAGCAGCTAACAGATGGCAGGTGCTCATCTTCCCTGCTGTCCTGGCTCTGTGCTCACTGATTAAAATATGGTGTTTGTCCAACCTGCAGTCTCTGCTGGACAGCCAGGACACCGAGGAGAGGATTACCAGGAGAGCTCAGAGGCTGCTGAGTGCTCTAAAAGTAGGTTTCCTAAAATCAATGTTCAGAGTTGTTGAATCCTTCAGTCACATCTAACAAGGTTAACTCAGGTCCTCTGGACGGGTTCTTCTTCATTTATTACCAGGTTGGTGGTGACGTCCATCAGGGCACTAACGATCACGACTGATGGTTCTCCTTTTACATGTCACCACCACACTGGTTGATCCACTGAGATGGGGCTGTTTATAAGACTGAGTTTGTTGCAGCTCCTCAGACTGAAGAAGTCTTTTGGATAAAAGATGAAACGTTTCAACAAGAAGAATCTGTTCAGAGGACCTGACTCAACCTGGTTAGATTTATCTACCTGGATTATTGAGCAGCATCAGGACGCCATCAGTCATGTTTTTATTTTCTGTAGCGGCAGAGCAGCTTCAGTGCTTTAGTTAATCTGTAATCAGAGGGATTTAAATGTGACAGGAGGGGCTGGAGTCAGGAGTGTTCTTTGTGTCCGCAGCAGAAGCAGGTCAGCAGAGACCCAACGTTCAGCCTGCAGGCTCTCTGTGAAGGCAGCACTCGATCGCAGGCTGCAGCCACGTTCCTCCATCTTCTGGTCCTGAAGAAACAAGAAGCCGTCCACCTGCACCAGAGCGCTCCTTACCAGGACATCAGTGTCACACCTGGACCCAAGTTCTACAGCTAGAGTCAGACGGGGGGGGGTGAAGAGTTTGTGGTTTCGGCACGTCCAGGATGGGGTACATCCACCACCACCAGTCTGAACAGATTATTCTGCTTCTGTCAGATATTCCCTCTGTTTTTTGTTTTTTTGTCTCTTCATAACATGTTAAATGAATGTTTTTCTTAAAGCCGTCACTGTTTTTACACACGAGCTAAAATCAAACGGCCTCGAGTGTTTTAAAAGTCACAATCCTTTAATTTTATTTCATTTTACTTTTATTTTTATCTTCTGTCAGATTTCATGTTCTGCAGCAGCAGCTCTGCTCTTGATGTTCCTTCATGTTACGTTTTTCTTTTTATTTGTTTCAAGGAACCGTGTTTTTGTTTTGTTTTTTTCCCACAAGTGTTTTCTGATCAACTATTTTGTAAGCGTTCTTTTTTCATCTTGTGGTCATGAACAGTTTTAAGTCTCTTCTGCATTACTGCAACATTTTCATGTTGAGTGTTAAAATATAATATTGCAGGTTTCTTCAGACGCTGTCATTTTGCTCCTTGTCAGGGTTTGGTGTGTGCAGGTGGAGCAGCGGTCACTTTGAGGAGGACATCACTTTACAGTCAAAAAGCACTCCGTTGGTCAGGTTCCCTGCACCGCTCACATTTTGATGTAAATATTGTTGAAATAACTTTCAGGTAGCACTTGTGCTTTGTTTTGCAAATGTATATATATATATATATTGTTAAAGTATATATTAAATACTCGCACAAAAGGAGGCTGATTTTAAGTGTTTTTTTTGTATTCTAACTAGATGTGAGGTGACAGTCCAGCCGGAGTCTTACATTTTCACTGTTTTTAGTACTTTACACATATCGAGGAAAGAATACTGTAGTCCGTTTTCAGAAATGTTTTCATAATATAGTTTCTAAAAAATGAATTTATGCAAATTGGTTAAATCAAATGTACAACAAAGTTCAGTCAGGTCCTCTGGACTCTGACTCGTTTGAGGCAGTCATGGCCAAAGTGGTTCAAAATATCCTTATTCATGCTCAATAATCCATGGATTATTTCTATCTGGATTACTGAGCATGAATAAGGATATTTTGAACCACTTTGGCCATGACTACAAGGGGGTGGGGGTGGACTCCAGAAACCATCTTATCACCATCACACTGGTTGACCCACTATGAGAAGGTGCTACTTCTAAGACTGAGTTTGTTGTGGCTCCTCGGACTGATGAAGTCTTTTTTGGATGAAAGACGAAACGTTTCAACAAAAATAATCCATCCAGAGGACCTGACTTAACTTTGTTGGATTTTTCTACCTGGATTACGGAGCATGAATCAAACATCATTTAATCTATTTGTGTCATACTCTCATATTGATTTATTTTATCACAGTCGATGGAGGGATCAGACACGAGGAGCTCAAGTAAAATCAATTTGTTTATTAAATAAGACAAAACGCTGGCGTGGCAACAAAACTTCTAATCACATGGGAGCACGAGAGGCACCAAGACCTCAGGCTAGCTTGAATAATGAGCTGCTGGGGGGGGGGGGGGGGGGGGGTGACCAGAGACCACCTGTGATTACTAATTGGAAACAGGTGTGAGTGAGAACTGAGAGTTGAACACAAGGGACAGAAAAACATCATAAAACCTCAAAGAGAGGTAAAACTGAAAGATTAAATAAAAACAGACTATGATGAATGTTGTAACAGAGTTTGTGTAGTTTAACCAAGGATAGGCTGTTTGTTACTTTGGAGGTGAAAAACGGAACAATTTGAGAACCCAAATACAATTCTCTAATAAATATATGTGACCAGAAATGTGCGATTTCAAATCATTTAATAAAGATTTACCATGTATGAGTTGACTAAAGTGTCAAAAATCGGGAGACAAACGTAAATCGTGACGGTTGAGATGTAAACTCGTTGACCCCATGGATCCTGCCTGTGTTGGACTGAGGGGGTCCCTGAACGCATCACATGGTGCCTTTGTGGTCCCTGCTGTCTCTTTAAGAAGCAGCACTGCAGCAGACAGCATCATTTCATCCAGAGCTTCATGCAGGATGGACTCTCATCAGGACCGCCAGCATCTCGTGTCGCTGCGGCCGCCGGGCAGGAACCGAACCTCTCCGATGACGCGCAGCTTCCACCTCCCGAAACGGTACCGGTAACTGCGCGAGCTCAGCGCCACGTTTGTCTTCTGAGTTCACCTCCGAGCGGCCTTTAAATGGATGCAGGACGCAGTTTGGGTCGACTCGACGTGTTCTCCAGTAAAAAGTCGCTCCTGGTGCCGTTCAGGTTTGGACCCGTGCTCCGTCAGAACCGATGATAAGACTTTGTTTTTACCCGAGCTGGCCTCCCTGCAGGAGGAGACAGCATGGGGTTTAAACCTGGTTATCCGTGGAGGAGGCGCTGCTCCTCCTGGGAGTGCAGTGTCCTCATCCTGCTGAGAGGAGGATGAGGAGGACCAGGTTCGCCTCCACACTTACGTAACATGATTGCGTCTTTCTCACCAGCACTTTGCCACTTGTTGCGCAGACACACAGGAAGGAGGGAGGTGAGCTCTCCTGCCTCCTCCTCCACCTCCTCCTCCTCCTAGAAATGAGGCTGTGGGAGGAAATGAGGTTTTAGAACATCCAGAGAGATGTCTTCGTTGTCAGGTTGTCCAGAAAATTTCATGGGGACATTCTGTCCTCGTTGTTTTGAAGGAATAGGTCGTTGGAAGTAAAGTATTTTTTTTAAGTAAACAATATCTTACCTGTTGCGCTTTAAACAGTGTGTTTTTCTGAAAAAGAGCTATTGATCAAATAAATGAGTAAATGGTCCAGATGGGATCAAGATCAGCTTTGGGGCCACTTCCAGCAGGAATGTCACATTTTAAAATATTCATTGGCTCTAAAACCTGCCAGGTTAGAAACAACCTCAGTTATTACCCAGGGCTGGGTCTGATTTGGGTCACGTCCAGAGTCGGTGTTATCAGTTAGACATTGTTTGCTTTAGTTTTTACCCTAAGTTGGATTAAAATTACAAGTTTTTTTTAATTAGCTACTAAAAACGACGGATGGACAATAATTTTCAAATATTCAAAGTCTAATTAAAATGGGTGCATATTCTTCTAATATTCAAAGAAATATCAAATAATCATTTTAATTTGAAGTGTTTTTGCTTAAAATTCAAATGCAGAAGTTGAGTTGAAAAGAACAACAAAATGTGGGTCATTAGATATTTACAGCTTGGTGCAGACTAACTGGTGCAGACTAACTGGTGTTAGCTAACTGGTGTTAGTTAACTGGTTTAATAAAATATGGTTCATTTTGATGATTGGAGCTTTGAGAGGAAAATCCTTTTTAGAAATAGATGTACTGTCTAAATGGAGACACTTCCAAAGTGGATCAGTGCTGTCTTAACTCCAATATTCAAATATATTGTGTTAGTGCATGCAAACAGTTTTATAAACAATTAGTTATTCAGGCAGAAACATTGTTTTCCAGCAGGTAGTGTCCCAGGAGTCACATGAGCAAATAAATATAATATTCTGCACATAACGCAAAATTCCATCCATCCATCCATCATCTTGACCCGCTTCTTCCATTTTGGGTCACAGGGGTCACCGGTGCCCATGTCCAGCAATCGTGTGAGAGGCGGGGGACATCCTGAACAAGTCTCCAGTCCATCACAGGGACAAATAGAGACAAATGAGACAACCATTCACTCTCGCACTCACAACTAGAGACAATTTAGAGTTAGTCAGTCTAACACGCATGTTTTTGGTCTGTGGGAGGAAACCGGAGTACCTGGAGAAAAACCACGCATGCACGGAGAGAACATGCAAACTCCAGCCAGGCCTCCGGGTCAGGATTTTAACCGGAGACCTTCTCGCTGAGAGGCAGCAGCTCTACCAACTTCCCCACTGTGCCGCCCATAATGCCAAATTGAAATCTAAACTAGAGTTGGTGTGAACAGCTATGAAACTGGATAATCCAATTAGGACGTAGTTCTGTTCAGACTAACTGGTCAAACTTAAACTCTGATTCTCCAAACTAAGATCACTCAAAGAGCCTTCTGCAACAGGTAAGTTATTCATTGTTTGTAACTTTTCCACACAACCTCATTTTTAAATGGCTGAAATAGCCCTTTAGACCTTCCAGGGGTTCCTTCCTAGAAAAAAGAACCTCAAATACAAATTAAATGGTTCAAAGATTAACCAAAAATGACACCAAATTAAACTTAAAGCCTCTTTTTATGGACCACCAGCTTGATGAAGGCGCCGCCGCCTCATTTACCGTCATTTACTTCTAATTCAGTATAAACTGTTCGACGTCTCTGCCAGCCTCCAAATGTCAGAGAGGCTTTGTCCCTTCACTTCACCAGTTAGCGTTTAAAACTGTGTCGTCGTTCAGCTCTGCAGATGTGCAGCTCAGACGCAGCAGCTGACTGTGTCCTCTTTGTGTCAGCACAGCGAGGACGCTCTATTTGCTGCTGGCCCAGATTAGTTGTGATGAGGCTTAGACTTTTGTCTCTGGGCTCCAGTCGACTCCTCACGAGGGATGATTCTGCACGTTTTAGATCTCATTTAGCTGGATTTAGGCTGACTTTATGCTTGTTGTGCTGTCCATGCTTGCTGCAGAGTCCCCCGCTAGAAAGAGCCGTGGAGACGCTGGACGTTGCTCATCACCTCGATGTCTCTCGCTCAGAGTCGGAAGCCCTTCTCCAGCCAGCGCAGGTAACCCTAACCCTACAGTCTGCTGCTTTAAAGACTTCCTGGCGGAGCGTAAAGTCACTGTGATCTGACCTCCTGTAAGGCGCTCAGTGGGAACTGGAGGAGGTGGCGGGAGGTGTTGCCACAGTGATACGTCCAGTACGCACACCTTTCCTGTTCGGATAAGGGCTCCAGAGGGCAGCCCCACCGCCCGCACACATCCAAACACCCCCCGGTAAGATGCTCGTACTCTGCGTTGTGACTTGAGAGCACCCTCGTGTGTAACGTTGGTCTTTGCTCGTGTTTGTGTTAGACGTCAGGCAAAGCACACGGTCTGCAGCGACAACCATGGGGTCAGGGCCCCCACCCCGGAGCAGTACCTTACACCCCTGCAGCAGAAGGAGGTGTGTATACGACATCTGCGAGCCAGACTAAGAGACAACGTTGAGCGGCTGCAGCACAGGTGACGTGTCTCCTGCAGGGTTGGCGTTGGTCGAAGCTAAAGGCTGCTCTGCACAGTAACTTGTGTTTCTACGTTCAGGGACTGTGAGATCGAGGAGCTGAGGACCCAGCTGTACAAGATGCAGGAGGACTGGATCGAGGAGGAGTGCCACCGTGTGGAGGCGCAGTTAGCTCTGAAGGAGGCCCGAAAGGAGATCCAGCACCTCCAGGAAGTGGTTGAGTCAGTGAAGTCCAACCTGAACAACCGTGAGCCAGACCCTCACGATCTCAAGCCATACTCGGGGATGCAGGGGGTCAGGTCAGAGGGGAAGTCTCGCTCCTGTGGGTGCTCCCCAGCCAGCACCCTGAGCCGCGGCGCCACCTTCATGCGGCGGAGCAGCGAGGCTCTGGAGCGCAGCTTCAACGCCCCCGAGCCAAGCGGGGCGGCCCATCCGTCAGGACAGACCCACCTGCTACTGGAGGCTGCGCTCCTGTCGGAGCAGCTGCCTCAGCGGGACCCCCACCTCCGAGGAGCCCCAGCTGTGCAGCACCCTTCCACTTATGAAAGGTTGTACAGCGGGGGCGCCGTGCTGCCAATCTCACACTCCTGCCACTCTCTCAGCAGCAGCTGCAGATGCACTAGACCCGCCTACCTCCCCCATCATCACCTGTTCCTGCACTTACCTCAAGAGGAGCCCCCGGTCGCGGCTGTGAGCGCTGCCCCCACCACGCACACCAAGCCCATCCCTGTTCCTGCAGCGGAGAAGAAACCAGAGGTCCGCTCTCAGGGCTGCAGCCCCACCATGACCTGGCTGTGTGAGGAGATCAGTTCTGGAGAGCTGAGCGTCATTTCATTTGAAAAAACCACCACCCCCCCAGAACCGCAGCCAGTTCCAGCCTCTCTACCTCCTCTGTCCCCCCCAGAACACCTGTACAGGGCTGATCCACCACCTTTTGATAAACCTGTGGTTGCAAATGTGCCAGCGCAAGCCCAGACCTGCCAGCCCCGACCTACACATCCACTTCCTGTGAGACAGGAAGCCACAGCTGTGACGATGGACGAGGACACGGAGGAAACCGAAGGGACAAATGAAGGCGGGCCTTCCCCCGAGCGCCCCCACTGGAGCCGCTACTTCCTCGTAGATCTTTTGGCTTTGGCCATTCCTGTAGTGCCAACCATGGCGTGGCTGTGCAGAGGGGCGCCGCAGGAAGTCATGCCCGTGTACCACATCGGCTCCATGCTGAGAGGCTGCTGCGCCATCGCCCTCCACTCACTTCGACAGCAGGGTGTGGGCGGGGGGCGCAGACCTACCAGCACGACTGGAACAGCCGCTGACACTTTAAATGTCCACTCAGCTCTCAACCCCTGCAGATAAAGTGCTGACTCGGCACTTTAGTCTCAGCCATGTGTTCTCCTCTTGCAGGGATTTAATTTTTTAGGATTTCCATAATGTCCCCGTGAATCCATTGCTTTAGAGACAAAAAATAATTAAAAACAAGAATTAGCTGTAAATGCTTCATTTCTCAGTCTGCCTTTTCCTGGACTTTCAGTGGTTCTCTTTAACGCAACGTGCATGAACAACACAATTTGTCTGGAGTTTCTAGCTTGCAATAAAAAGACACCTTACGTGAGTTTTAATGAGATTGTTTTATCAAAAGAAGCTGATTTGTTTAAAGTTAAATTCTCTTTTTCTATGGACACATCTGTGAACATTTAGAAGTGAAGGACAGTCTGGTGTCGTCTGGATTTGTCGTTTAAATCGGTCCATCTCTTGGCATTGGCTTTTCAGCATAGTCCACAAAAGTTTAAAAGCGTTGAGGTCGGGGCTTTGGGAAGTCCACTCCAGAAGCTTCATGTCAGCTTGTTCATCCAATCAAACCAGTTCTGATGCGTTCAGGAACATTTCCTGTTGGAACACCCACGTTTCAAGGTGTCGATCTGAGAAGTTAAAAACTCTGAAGATGCTCCTTTTTCATGATTCTATCCATTCTGTGCACCAGTACCACAGCATGATGCTACCACCGCCATGCTTTACAGATGACACAGGTAAAGCCTCATCTCCTCTAAACTCACTTATCGTTGTGACCAAATAGTTGTCTTTGTCTCGTCCGACCATAACACTTTGCTTCAGAAGATGCTTGGTTTGTTCATGTGGGCAGCTGCAAACATCAGTCCAGCTTGAAGGTGTTGCTTTTGGAGCAGGAGCTTCTTGTTCAGCACCGCCTCAGTTCATGCTGATGTAAATCCGGCTTCACTGTGGACAGACTGGTGTTCCAGCAGTTTCCAGTTCATGACAGGTCTGAGATGTTAGCATCTAAATCAGGGGTGTCCAAGTGTTCCCATATGTGAGCCACAAAAATGTGAATTTAACTGTCAGCGTGAACAATATTTTGGAGAAAGGACAAATTTATTAATTTTGGTGGAGCAAGAGTTTTAAATTGTTGTTAATCCAAAACATTAAAAGCCTCATAAACACTAAGATTATATTTTTTATTAAAAAATATTAGATTTATTTGATTTGTTGGGTCTATGTTTGCTGTTTTCTTGTGTTTGGAAAATTCATTTTAGTCTGTTCTCAACAACAAAAGCGTAATTTGCTAAGTGTCCTTTTAAAAAGGGGTCATCCTTTTGGACCATGGACGGCCCAAAAGTCTGATCCAAGTTCTGAAAACTCGTCTGGCTGTCAGTCAATACAACAGATTCACAGAAGGTTTGATAAAGTTGATCAACTCGTATGTAGATGATACCACGTTGTATTAATTTAAAATGTAGAGTTTCCATCTCGATTATTTTATCAACTGCAATACTTAACCAAGTTTTATGAATCGTTATCCAAAAGTCTCATTTCTGGTGTGAACCAGTAAAAGTTTTAGGTGCTTTGTACCATGAAGTGAAAATAAAAAGATTATAGCCAAAGGTTTGTATTTTGTTTAATATTGCTCATTTTGATATGACTGTTTTGCTGTTAAACCTAAACATTATATAAAAAGGATTACCAACTAAGCCTGCTGGTCAAAATGATTCCATTCTTAAACAGCAGCTGTGGGCCGCACAAAATCACTGCAAGGGCCGCAAATGGCCCTGGGGCCACACTTTGGACACCCGTGATCTAAACCAATTCTCTTCTTCTGAGGATAACAGATGAGCACTGTATCTGTCAAACAAATGTTTTGTCATGCTGGCAAAGAGAAACTACCAGCTGCAGTCGGTCATGATCACTAACAACACGTTTCTTTTCCGGGGGGCTTACACAGCTGCCCACTGCTCCACCTGGCTGCATCTCAGGTGTGATGAGTTAAATGCAGAGAACTAATTTCATCATTGTATGGAAACATACAATGACAACACATGGCACTTACAAAAAAAAAAAACATGGTTACAGGCCTCATCCAGTACGTCCTAGGACTTTCAGGATAACATAAAAGATTTACCGTGAATGATTAAATATATTTGAGTCTGTGCGTTCTCACTTTTAACATACATTCAGCCAGAATCCATACTGAGCAGCAGAGACCATCATTCTCATTTAGTTATAGTTTACTATTAAACACGTGCCTGAAACAAGCACACTTATTAAAAAAATAAAACTTTTACCCCAAACATGTTTTATTTCAATTAAAATATCCAGAATAAAAAACAAGATTTCATCCTGGTACTGAGGCGGTACCGATCGTGGCAACAGACTGTTCTCTGTTTTTAAAGGACACGTTGGGTTTCTGTGCACGACAGAACCCTTCAGACTGAACTCAGCTCAACACTTTGTGAAGAGAACGGATTTATTTTCGGTTTCTACATGAAATCAAAACGTGTTGAGCAGTAAATTAACAAAAGTCTGTTTTTCTGTGTGTCTCCTGGTTGAACTGTGAGATCGACTGGTGAAATATGGAGCTTTTAAACTGGTTCATTTAAACCACACCTGATGGACTGAGGTCCCTTTTAGCTCAACTTCAGTTTGGAGCAGAACTAACAGCTAGTCTGAGCGAGACCAGAACGTCATGTGAGCATTAGTTTATGAACACATTACATGGGTTATTTAGCAGCAGCAGCAGCTAGCTGTAGCAGGAATACCTTCAGGTGAACCCGACAACATAAAGGTGCAAAAACTGTTTGCAGCTGTCGCAGCTCTGTTCAGACTAGCCATTAACTCATCAGCTGGGTCAGAATTAAACAAACCGAGCTCATTCAGAGAGCGATCCACTGCAGGTAAGATATTCTTTGTTCAAAAGATCTGAAGTCTTCTTCTGAATGGACTTATCTGGTTCTGTTTTTTATTTAAGATGTGGAAAAGATTTGTTGTTTATTTGAATGTTTGGTTCTTCAACTTGATCTTTTTGAACATTTCAGCTTCATTCTAATGATTTTATATATTTTTTTAAACAATTCTGTTCATCTTATCCTATTGACGAATAGAAATAACAGAAAATACAGATGAATTAGGTTTTATTTATGAGAAATAAATCTAACCGCTTTATAACGTAGCTGTTCTTGTTTTGTTTTTATTTCATTTCTTTTATTTACTTTTCATTTTATATGCGTTTATGATCGTCTCTTGTTGTCCGTTCCTCATGTGTTCTTTGTTGCAAATGAGTCCTCGAGGCTCAATGAGACCAACCTGAATAAATAAAGGGTGAATGAATAGAAAAGATCTACGTTCTCTAAATTCACTCTATTGAGTGCATAACTGAACATGATTATTTGAAGGTTGGTGTTTTTTGTATTAAAAACACTTGTCTTTCATTGGTGGGGTGAAATATGCTAATTTTTTGGGACAGGCATTTTGGGTTTTCATGAGCTGTATGCCATAATCATCAGTATTAAAACAATTAAAGACCTGAAATATTTCAGTTGGTGTGCAATGAATCTGAAATATATGAAAGTTTCATTTTTATCATTACATTATGGAAAATAATGACCTTTATCACAATATGCTAATTTTTTTAGAAGGACCTGTACATACAATATAAAATGTTGGGTTCTGTGTCTGACTCATAAACATCCTCGTCGTCAGCTTGAGTTTACGTGAAGTCTTCATAAACCAGTATTAGTGAAGTAAACTGTGTAAGCTACGATACACACTGTTGATCCCAACACCAAATAACTCAGTTTTTCATAAAAAGTTATCAGCTGATGAAATATTTGACTTGGTGACGTTTACTCCTCACACCGTCTGATCAGAATGTAACAAGTCCCCACGGATCAGCTGATGTTTTAGAGGAACAGAAGGAAATCATGTTTTTTTTTTTTAACAGGCATTCTGAAGTTCAACCTTAGAATCTAATCCATAAGTAGCTCTAATCTCTCAGGTTTAATCATCTTAGTTTGGTTTTAACTCCACAACCAGATTTTTCGGACTATAAAACGCACTTAAAGTCCTTAAATAAAAAATAAAAAAACCGACAGTGAGCATTATAATCAGGAGCACCTTATGTATTAATTCTGGTTGTGCTTACTGACCTCAAACAGATTTTATGTGGTACAACTGAACAATGTTGAGTTATTGTGAATGAGTTGATTAAAGTTTGACTTATCGGACCGTTTTGTTTCGCTTAATGCTCCTTATAGTCAGAAAAATATGGTAAACCTGAAAAACTCATTTCAGTCTGTATGGTGGAAGTTAAAAGTTGAGCCAATGTTGTCATCATTGTATGGGAACATACAATGATGACAACACAGAACACATTAATTATTATGAAACAGATGTTTAAATATAAAACTGGCTTTAATCTTTTCAAATGTTCAGAAAGCAACATTTTAGCTTTTTAAATGACTAAAATAAACTTTCAGGAGTCTAATCAACAAGTCTGTTTGAGCAAGATAACATTTTATTGCAAAATATGGCTTATAAAGTTAAAACAACTCATCTTGTCAGACTCCGCCTCGAAGCAAGACATTTCTTTTCTTTCTCCATTTAAATCTTTATTATCTTTAACTCGGCAATTTTCTGGAAATGCACAAGAAACTGAAAATAGCAGAACACCGTTTCCTGGTGTTGAATAAAACATGCTGGTTTTCTTTTTCTTTTATTGTTAGTGTGCTGTAAAACCATTAAATATATCTGTCACAGACCAGAAGATGTAAAACAATGAAATGAAGTTGGTGACGGGAGGGAAACGAGGCGGTTTGTAAAAATCAGCTCCTCGCTAATTGAGAAACTTCAGCCTTCACCCAGACCAAGTGTTTGTGCCTGTAAACCTCCTTACAGCCAGAGCAACGCTGTAAACAATCACAACTTTAGTCTTTTTGTACAGCAAAACAAGAAAAGAAAAAAGTGTAATGTCTGCTAAGACTTGCAGGTTAGTCACGGCAGCAGTTTGTTCAGTTTTAATCCTGGTACGTCGTTTTCTGAACACTGCTCCACATCGTTGTTTTATCCATTAGCAAGTATCACAAATGATTTATTCTAGTTTCATTCAATTCATGCCTGCACCTGGAACATCTGAGCGTAAAGGTCAGAGTCACAGGAACAAAATGGATTCAGGATTTTTAACAAACATGCTCCTGAAGAAAAAACAAACAAACACATTTTCAGATCTGTTGAGAGTCGATGAGGTCCATTTTAAAAACAAAGAAAAATACACATCAGTACGTGATGAAATATATATCAAGAGATGGCCTGGAGATTGAAAAATGTGACATAACATTTCAAAGCAAGTGACATAATTCAGTTTGCACCTGAATGAGAAGGAATAAAAAGGATGTGAAGCTGTAGATGTAGGTCCTGTGCAGGAATCATCTGAACATGTTTCCTCCACGTTCTTAAGACAGGAGTCGACCTGCAACAGAAACGTTCAGCCCGTTTTCTTCCGACCACCGTAATGACACCATCGTGCTGCCTTTCTGGATTCAGTTACTTTCTTACCCTGAAACTCTGAGCAGAACTAAACAAAGTGGAGGGTGCAGGTCTCAGGCTTCCAGACCCAGCAGCTCCACATCAAAGGTGAGAGTGGCGTTTGGTGGGATGATCCCTGGGTGACCTTTGCTGCCGTAGGCGAAGTCTGGCGTACAGACGAGCTTCGCCCGCTGACCTACACTCATCTGTGGATGACGACACACAAAAATAAACAAACACTGAGTTTAACAACACATGAGAATAAACGGCAACATAAACCCTGTTTATAAGAAGTCTGGGATGAAGCAAGATATAATTTAATGTTGAAATGTTAGCCACCAAAGTTAAGTCAGGTCCTCTGGATGGTTTCTGTTTGTTGAAACGTTTAGTCTTTCATCCAAAGCACTTCTTCAGTCCGAGGAGCTGCAACGAACTCGGTCTTATAAACAGCACCTTCACATAGTGGGTCAGCCAGTCTGATGGTGCTCAGGTGGTTTCTGGAGCCCGCCCTCTCCTCTGCGACTCCTCTGAGGCAGCCATGGCCAAAGTGGTTCAAAATATCAAAGCTCATGCTCAATAATCCAGGTGAAAAATCCAGGAAAGCCCCATTGTTGGATTTTTACCTGGATTATTGAGCATGAACTTGTATGTTGAAATGTTTGATTGAAAGATTTTGCTAAAAATGCTTTGAAATGTTTCCATGACATGGCTGAACATCAGATAGTTACCTCGGCTCAGTTAGTGCCTTCTTCCTATGAGCCCATTAAGAAAGACGTGATGGGAGAGTTTAACATTTTCACAATATGTTCTGACAGGGAGGGGGTCAGGAGCTAGTGTACGCTTTTCAAAATGAAATAAAATGTTGACCTTTCTCCATACACCCTGTATAACCAACACGTTACTGAATTCTCCCACAGGGAAAATACTGACACCATGAGATGTACTGGGAGCCCGGGTGCAGAGCTCTCGTCTGTGGGGGCAGCAGCTCAGCTGTGAGCTCCTCTCGTGTCAAAGTGCTCAGAGCAGATGAACCACACATGCACGCAGCTGCCACTGATCCCGCTCTCGCCGACAGACCTCCTGCACTGCACCCCCGACCTCCCCAGGACTTCTGTACCTAGAATCTAGTATGAATCGTTAATGTGTTGGGAGCGTAGTCATCAGCCTGTACAACTTGTGTATGTGAGCAAATGTCTGGTCCGAGAGAGATTATCCATTATTCTTTACCCGCTTCTTCTTTTTCGGGTCCCGGGGGTCACTGGTGCCCACATCCAGCAGTAACTGCGAGAGGCGGGGTACACCCTGTACAGGCCTCCAGTCCATCACAAATATCTGTACGTTTTAAAACACTTCTGAGACGTGTACAAATGTAAAATGACACTTTTACCATAGTACAATAAAATCCATGCAAGTACATGGGTGTTGTGTCTCAGCTTTATTTAAATCAGTTTCATGAACGTCAACATTTTTTGGAGTGCTTGGGGAGGGGTCCCAAAACAGGATGTTTTGTACACGTGAAAATGTTGAATCATTTCAATCTGTTGAAAATTGTGAATCACCTCGAATATTACTGATTTTTGGAGCAAACCAAGGAGAGAGAGGTCCAAACTAAAATAAGGAAGTGATCGGGCTTTAAATCTGAACAGTTTTCCTCTTCATGAACGAAGCACTGAGGGTTTGAAATCTGTGCTTAAAACTGGAACAACTTAACGACTGACATGCTGTACGTCCTCTCTTTGGGTCATTGAGAGCTCTGAATACATTTATCACAAAACATAGGAATATTTACGCAGCTGAACTGTAAGTTGGGCTGAGCACTCATTAATGCAACAATATGCTCAATAAAAGCAAATGGGAATAAATAGATTCTTTTTTTTTTTTTACTTACAGGAGCTGAGCTCCAAAGTACTCAGTCAAGACAATGATATTTTACCGTCTGTCCTAAAAGGTTGTTGCCAACTTACTCGATGCAGTAAACCCTTCACACTCCTTTAGACTCTTTCTCTACTGCAGGTTAGATCTGAGGAAAGTGTCGGCTAAAACAATGTAACAATAAACACAGCTGCCTGTATGGACGCTGTCTGTGTCGTGAGCCACTGCAGCTTAAAGCACAGCCCAAAGATTAACAGCTGATCCCACTCGGGTCAGAAAGATCCAGTCTGAAGCAGAAAATGGAGAGGAGAATAAATGTGCCGATCCATGAAATGAAAACAGCTTTTTTCCTTCTCGATCACCAAATAATGAGACACCAGAAGGGATGGGAAGCTTGGCCCTGGCTTTGTAGCAGCCATTTGGTTGAAGAGAGCATAAAAACACCACACACCCAGCTGGATCTGAGCTATTTCTGTTCAAAAAGGCATTTGTTAAATCTCTGCCCACTGAAAAACATTTAAACTGGAACAACAACTGGCCTTTACTCATAGATTAAGCATTTGGTCTAAAAAAAATAATACCTGAAATGAAGTGACAAGCAGTTCCCCATATTCAACTCTGTGATAAAAATACTAAGTGCTGTGATCATTAGATAGATCAGTACATTCAGTTGTGGGCACGGTTCTCCACTAATAACAGAACTAACTTTCCATTAAGTGGATTAGCTAACTTAGAAACCCTTTAGCAAAATTAGCTTTTGCTAAATTTAAATCTGGTAAAATCAAGTCTGCAAAGTCTCCACACTAAAAGTGCACTGGAGAGTAGTGATTTACAAAGTAATGCTATGCTATGTGGAGCTAAGCTAAGGTAAGCACCACCCACCTGGTAATGTCACCACACTCACAGTGCTCCCCCAGTCTCTGCCTCATGGTGTCACTTTACAGCCAATAACAGACTTTAACACAAATGCCAAACCAGAACAGGAAAATAAAAAGAAAACCCATTTTCACAGGCAGAAACATCATAAACCGTCAGAAACATTGCACACATAAATCCTACCCAGCATGCTTTGCAACAGTCTCACATATTTAATACAAAAAGGTTTATTACCGTGAGAATATTGATGATGACGCACAGCAATTTTGTAGTTAGTTTATAAAAGTAGTTAACGCTAAAGTGAGTTGATTCATTATATTAAATGACACGAGGGACACGACACACTGAATGCATCACTCTGCTTCAACACAGCAGAGTTCTGTTCCACATCTTTGGTTCCGATGGACCACACTAATTTCTGAAAGAAAGATCACCTCTGAATGGGACATGGATGCTTTACTTATGAATCACAAGTAACATGGTTAATAAATAACAAGTTGTGATTTATTAACCATTTTGAGTTGTGTTCACATACAGCGCAACATTCCTAGAAGTACAGGTTCTAATGATTTAAACAGATAATGGCAAAACATTGAGCTTGGTTGAGTTTGTAAGGGTAGACATAAGGAAAATTTTAAGGCTGGTGTCCAGCGGACAACCTCTTGCCAAAAATCTGGTTGTCTGACAAAAGTTTTGGTTGTCTACAACAATAAAAAAGGCAACAACAAAAAAAATCCCAAGAAAAAAGCTATTTAATAAGTACACAATCGTCCCTCGCTGCTTCGTGATTCGACATTTACAGACTTGCTCTAGCACGGTTTTTCAAAGTACAGTACTTTAAGATTGTACATGACCAAAAAAAAAAAAAAAAATTCCACCATTTTGTAGTTTTCTCTCAATAAGCCTACACTGTATCACTAGTCTAAAAGGACTACCTTACCCAGAAGGCAACAGTGCACTACTCAGAAGGCCAAGTTGCTTTCTACTGGAGGGAAAGTTCTGATCTGATCCGAATGGTCCTTACAGTACAGTGACTTTGGCGCTCAGTGGATGCAGAGAGACAACCAGAACAGGACCGGGACTGGACCAAGGCTGAGTAGGTCTGCCGAACCAGAACTGAGCCGGACCGGAACAGAGCTGTGTGTTCTGCAGAGCTGGTGAGTAAAGAGGCATTCCTCAACTTATAGTTTTAAGTTGAGTAAATCAACATTAAGTTGTCTTAATTAACAAACTCTTGCTAAATAAACTTTGGCTTTAGTTCAGTTTATTTAAATGTATTAGTTGACTGTTTTGGTATGTTGTTTCAACTCAGGAATTGATGTCATTTATACTTCACGGATTTTCACTCATTGCGGGCGGTTCCGAAACGTAACCCTCGCGATAAACGAGGGACTACTGTATACTGCAAGTTTACTATAGGGCGGCACGGTGGCTCAATTGGTAGAGCTGTTGCCTCCCAGCGAGATGATCGCCGGATTGAATCCCGGCCGGGGACCTGTCTGGGTGGAGTTTGCATGTTCTCTCCATGCATGAGTGGGTTTTGTGACCCCCACGACTCGAAAAAGAAGTGGGTAAAGAAAATGGATGGAAGTTTACTACGGTAAACTCGGAATTTAAAGGCATTTTGAATAATTATTATTATTATTATTATTATCTTGGACAAGACCCCTGTCCTGACAGTAAATAAGGAAGGCATGTAGCACCTACCAAGATGGCGGCACGAATTCACGCCTTATTAAGGTAGACTGCGCTGAGTTTGGCCGTTCCAGTGACCCTACTACATGTTTAGTATGCAGACCTAGTATTAGCTGCATGAAACTTACAACTTGTTTTTTTGTTTTAATTAAAACGAACACATCAAACATTGACAAACCCAAATTGTCCAGGTTATAGCACTTCATAAATCACATCTGCACGCGCTTGTGTCATGTACATGTCCTCACCTGAGCTACTCCTTCCTCCCAGCCACGAATTACCTCCTGATGTCCAATCTTGAATTTAAAAGGCTTCCCCCGGGATCTCGAAGAGTCAAACTCTTTGCCGTCCTCCAGCGTGCCTGCACAACAAACCGGAGCTTGTCGGGAATTTCGAGACGTAAAGCTGGAGGTTTAGCTTCGCCTGATGACTGACAAGCTAGCGTTAGCTGCTTAACAATATACACCTCCTAAATAAAGGGTGGAGCAGCAGTACAACAACTACATACTCGTCCATTTAATAAACAAGTCATGCCAGCCTGAGTAACCGAGAACCTGGTAGAAATACAGACTTGTCGTCGGCCTAGCGGATGTTAGCCGAGCAGACATAACGGTAAATTAAACGGAGTTTAGCGTTAGCTTCGATGCTAACAGTCAGCCTTGGACAAGCTGCTAGCTTAATAAAACCGCTAAGACCTGTTCCCTAAAACAACGAAGTCTCATGCACTTAACGACACATTTAACTCAACAAAGACAGGAATTAAGCAGAGTCTAAATATAGCCCTGACTCACCGACATAGTGCACCACGACGCGCTGTCCCTTCTTCGGGAATGTCCGTCCTAAACACCAGGAGGAAACACAGGAGAAAGTATGGTTTAGTGATGGAGCAATCAACCAATAGGCTAAAAGGGCGAATAATTAAGTGGCATTAATCTAACCATCGCCTGGAGTTATTGTCTGAATTTCTACTCCCATTTTTGCTTCCTTTCTGTCGAGTGGACCACCTCCCTATGGAAGGAGGAGGCAGGGCGGCCCGGTGACGAGAGATGCGGGCGATAGGAGAAAGAGGCACCACGGGTGTCCGAGTATGAATGATTTTCAATTTATTTTATTTATATAACGCCAAGTCACAACAGAACTCATCTCAGGGCACTGAACAGAAACATTCATATATAAAAATAATAATTTAACACTATTTATGGCTTCCTAGATAGAGAACTTTACTAATTGTTTTTTTTTTTAATGTTTCTATAAAGTGCCCTGAGACAACTTTGTTGTGAATTGGCACTATATAAATAAACTAAATTGAATTATCTGAGGAGCAGACTACTTTGAGTTTAACTCCTTTGCAGAACTCTCATCTACTCAATCAGCCTCCCCACCATCACAGACATCTACACCTCCAGATGTGGGAGGAGGGCCACCTGCACCGTGAATGACCCCACTCACCCAGCACACACTTTTTGCCCCACTCCCCTCAGGAAGGAGGTTGAGGAGCATTAAGTGTAGAACCATTAGACTGAGGAACAGCTTCTACCCTGAGGCTGTTAGACTCATGAATCTCTAACTAGAATAATCACTGTGAAAAACCACATCATGTTGCTGCTGATCTGTTTCATGTTGCTGCTGATCTGTTTCATGTTGCTGCTGATCTGTTTCATGTTGCTGCTGATCTGTTTAAATGTTGATGTGTTCATGCATGCACATCCACTCACACAGACTCATGTTCATGTTTGTGCTGATGTTCAATGTTTTTATGTTACGAGTGCTTAGTGTATATTTAGTTGATGTTTTTCTTAGTTCATATCTTAGATGTTATTACTGTTTTTCTTATACATTTTATTGTTGGATGTAACTGGGACCCTGTGTACATAATTTCGCTCCACCACATGTACCACATGAGGTGCGAATGACAATAAAGAATCTCTGACTCTGACTCATCTTGAGCAAATATGAAGGCGACAGTGGAAAGGAAAAACTCCCTCATGAGGAAGAAACATTTTGCAGAACCAGGCTCAGGATAAAGACCATCTGCTTTGACCGGCTGGGTTTGAGAGGAACAGATACACAATGGCAGGTCAAGAATCACATGTTAAGATAGAAATTGCATCAAATTAATTTGAGCAAATCATTTAAGGAAATGAGGTCAATTTGTCATCCAGTAGTTTAAGCCTATAGCAGCATAACAAGCCAACCCTAATTATAGGATTTATCAAAAAGGAAAGTCTTAAGCCCAGTCTTAAAACTGGACAATGTGTCAGCCTCACGGACAGAAACTGGAAGTTGGTTCCACAAGAGAGGAGCCTGATAACTGAAAGATCTTCATCACATTCTGCTTTTGGAAACTCTAGGAACCGCGAGTAAGCCTGCAGCCTGACAGCAAAGAGCTCTGTTAGGAAAATATGGAACAATAAGATCTCGACTCTAAGATGGAGCTAGGTTGTTGAGAGCTTTGTAGGTTAGAAGTAAGATTTTGAATTCAATTCTGAATTTGACAGGGAGCCAATGAAGAAAAGCTAAAACTGGAAAAACACGATTTCTCTTATCCACTCACTCTGGCAGCAGCATTTTGGATCAAGTGAAGACTTTTTAAAGTGCTTGGACACCCAGATAGTAAACAGTTGCACCAGTCCAGTCCAGGAGCAGTTTTTCTACATGATTTTTAGACAAGAAGAAGTTTCTAATTTTTGCAATATTACACAGGAGTAAAGCAGTTATGGTAAAGTTTTTTTTAAAGACATGTCGTATTGAATGTCCAAGTTTTTCAGGTTTTATGTGATCTCTCAGAGCTCAGGGGATATTTTGGGGATGACTCTCAGCTACCCCCACCTAATCTTTGCACAGTATCTGTAAAAACGACTGAGCTATGGTCATCTTTGTGTTGCCCAGGTGGACTAGCTGTGACGACCATCTTCAATCAGACTGACTAATAAACCTAATCGTTACATTAATCCCTCTCCACAATGAAAAGCACACGATCATGAAACAGCCTGCATGTGTTTGTTTTGTGTGTCAGCAAAACATCTCGTGAAGCAGTGGGCAGATTTTAATGAAACACACTGGATGTGCAACTGATTAACTTGATTCAAGATGGCCACCACAGCTAATTGCCTTTGGCAATAGCAAAAAAGTCAATAACTGGGCCAGTTGTGCAGCTATTGAGCTAAAGCTTGGCATGTAAGGATTCCAAGTTCTTTATTGTCATCCACATCACATGTACATGATGTGGAAAGAAATTGTGTACACAGGGTCTCGGTTACATCCAACAAAAGAAAAAATATAAATTGTATAAAAACAGTAGTCTACTGAGGATCTCAGATATAAACTAAGATATACGCTAAACGAACGCCCAACAGCATGTACGCTAAAAGATCTAAGATATACACTAAACACCAATAGTGCAGAACAATACACTAATAGTAAGATGGATTCCTTCAAAGAATGCTAGTTTTATACGCAGCTAAATTTATTGTCTGAATAGTTTATTAAAACAGCACTCTTCATGTCAAATAATGTACATATTGTGGGCGTGAAGTCCATGTGAGGAGACAACAGTCCTCAGGGTGACTCGCTGCCAGCTGCAGCTTACATGTAGACACTGAAACAACCTTGGTTTTATATTTCCTCGTATTTCACTCATTCTTTACAATTTGTGGGGGTTTTATGCACAGGTGTTACTTTACATGAAAAGGCTCAACGGTGCAGCTGCACCAACTGATTTCTGTCTGTCCGCAGGTCTGCCGCTCACAGCAGAGACAAACAATGTCCCCGCCAAAGTAAGAGCGGTGAGTAACCAGATCTCCCTGAGACGATGCGTCAGAGCTGTGAGCCTCGCTGCATCGTGTGAGGTGCAGAGCAGAGGAGCTTCCAGGTGTTTCAAGGTCTGGGTCCTTGAATCACTGACACCAGCAGCATTGTTGATGGGAGAGTGGAGGTGGGGAAGTGTCTGTCCCTCTGATGGCCCCCCAGGGACATGCTCGGAGAGAGGAAGTGGACATTGTGGCGCAGTCCACGGGTGGCAGGACATGACAACAGACGTGTGAAACTCTGTAGCCATGGTGATGAGGCTCAGAGCAAAATGACAGCAGATACGGGGGCACAAAAACAAAACCAAACCCCGTCTCCATGGAGACACAAGGACAAATTTAAGACAACAACGGAGACAGAAGGACAGGCTGTTAGAAAGATTACAAAGATTTGTACTTTAGGTTAAACATGGATGTTTGTTGCTGACAGATGTTCATTGTCTGAAAGGTTCATGACTGCACCAGTTTGACCCTTTCCAGTCCTCTCACAACAACTAGAACCAACAAAAACAACCCGTCTGAACAGGAAAAAGTTCACCCATGTCTTTCCCAAGATTACCCAGCAGCTCACCCAGCCTCTTGCATTGGTTAGGACTTCACTGTCAGGAGAGAAGGCTCAGTTCAGTCAATGTCTCCAGCTGATGGGAAATGAACCAAACCGTGAGTGGGCGGGTCCAAAACACAGGCTCTGAGCCTTCGGGAAGGCCCTGCAAGGCAGTTTATTTAACCATTTGAAGATTTGTGATGCATTCAAGTGCAACTTGTAAATTTAACAATCAACACTGAAAGTTTGTTTTTAAAAAGTAAAAAATACATATCCTATTTAGGTTTACACAATAGTACAGTTGTGTTTTGGTTTAATTACATGGTGAAATGTTGCCTAAAACAGTAAGTCCTGTGGGTTATCATAAAATTTAAGTTTGAATTATTAAATTTACATGTACAGTACGTTAATGAGAGCTCCTTCAGACACGTTTCTGCCTGGACTGTAGTTTCATGAATTCAAAAGTTTCTTACTCAACTGCAAAGTAGTTTACAGAAAATAAGAGAAATCAGCAAAAATGAAGAAAACCTACAGTGAAAACATAAATTTTATATAAAATAAATATTAGATTGAAAATGTAAATGGTACTTTTAATATTTCTTAGGTTTTCTCCAAAGGAATAGAAGGTCATGAGTGTTCCCCACAGGTTTATAACATGAAGTTAAAAATGCAGGTTATAATGTAATTTGTTCAAACACACACACACGCACACACACACACACAAATAAAACCCAGCAGTTTATTCACTGAAAAAAATAGAAATGCTGGTATGCACAGAAAAGTTGAAAGAAGTTGGTTTAATATAT